TATATCTGGCATTTCTCCCCATGTTATCCCTCCCTAAAGTAGTCACTTATACAAATAAATTTATAGCATCTCCATCATTAGGTAAGACTGTATACATTCTATAAACTAGACATTTTAATCCATTAATCCTTACAATAAGGTAGTTATTACTCCCATTTTAGAGGTAAAACAACTGACATTCAAAAATAAAACTTCACAGAACTGAAACCCAAACTCAGATTTGCCTACCTCTGATCACTACATTTTATCATCTAAATATGGAAACTGATCAAATGACCAACAATAGTGGAAGGTTAGGTAAATTACATTATATTTACTTAACATCATATTATGCTACTATAAGAAATCATAGGCTGGGCGAGGTGGCTTATGGCTATAATCCCAGCACTTTGGAAGGCCAAGACAGGCAGATCACCCAAGGTCAGGAGTTTGAGACCAGCCTGGCCCACATGGCAAAACCCCATCTCTACTAAAAACACAAAAATTAGCTGGGTGTGGTGGCATGTGCCTATAATCCCAGCTATTCAGGAGGCTGAGGTAGGAGAATAGCTTGAACCCGGGAAGCAGAGGTTGCAGTGAGCCAAGATTGTGCCATTGCATTCCAGCCTGGGAGACAGAGCAGGACTCCATCAAAAAAAAAGAAAGAGGGAAGGGAAGGGAAGAGAAGGGAAGGGGAGGGGAGGGAACAGGAGGGGAGGGGAAGGAAGAAAGAAAGAAGAGAGAGAGAGAGAAAGGAAGGAAGGAAGGAAAGAGGGAAAGGAAAGGAAATAAATTATAAAGGTAGTTTTTGTGATCAAGATCACTAAGGAATATTAATCTTTTCCTTGGCTGAACACTTTATATATATTACCTAATTTAATATTTTCCCAACAACTTTTTGAAGTAATTATTTCTATTATCCTCATTTCAGAGACAGAGAAACAGAGGCTTAAGGATTAAGATGACTCTACCTGAAAAATAGCAGGGCTGGCAGAGAAAACCAGGTAAGCTTGACCCCAAAGCCCATTTTTTAAATCATTACACTGTATTATTACACAGTAGCTGTCTGATCTAAAGTTGGTAGAGGGCCTTGAATAATACAACTCCTTCCTTCTGAGCCTTGCATTAAAGGAAATGAGACCACAGAAGAGCACTTCAAAGTTAAAATGAATAGCTTTGGTATTTATGGTCTCTTGTTTTAGGACAAATAATCTCTCATTCAATTCAAAATAGTATTTATTTAAACTACAGAAACTCTATGTATTTCTTCTGTGTTTTTCTAAAATGTTTTTAATTTTTAAAAATGAAGTTTTGACCAGATTTCTTTTTATCTTTACAAACGGTGAATTGTGTTGTCATTGTTGCTAGTAGTGAAATAGTTAAATCCTGAGGGTATACCCTGGTGGATATCTCCCTCAACCATCTAAAGAGAGAGAGAGAGAAAAAAAGGTCACAGTCAGTTACTCCCATTAGATCAGTGTTCATGAGAACATCTGTAGGCACACATACACACTCTCTTTACAGTCAGCCTTCTGCTTGCCACAGTCACAGTGGACAGGCAGTGAATCTTCCCCAAGTGCTGACAATTAAAACGTGGTTTAGCAGCAAAGATTCAGAGAGGTGTGAGCAGCCCCTCTGGCCTTCAGGTAGGTCTGATACCTTCATTTCTACCAAAGCTAAAAAATGGGGGCCTATGTTTGTAAACTTTAAAGGAATGAAGATGTCACACTTTGGCAGTGTGTTAGTTACAGGTGGATTGGGTGTCTAGATAGGGAAGGGATGAGTCAAATTTGGAAAATTTGGGGCTTTCTGTTCTCTGGCTGCTTCAGGCTTAATTCTTAGGCCTTTAGAGCACTATTACTAGTGTATAAATCATTCTCTGGCCTAAGTATAGGAGGGAAGACTTAATCCTGGTTTTACTGCCAGCAAAAATAAAATAGTGTATGCCTCAAACCTGATTAACTGTGCAAGAGAGTGTTATTCACACACTAAATGCTTAAAGTTACATGAGCTTACCGGTTACTCTGGAGCAATCAGGAAACTATGGCTAGCACGGATAAGCTAGATTTAATGCTTCAGAGTACAGTATCTTTCTTTGGAAAAGAAAGTCAGTTCAGATACGGGGAACTATAAACCCAGACCTCATACTATGAGTCCTTTTATTATACTCAGCTATGCCCTAGCATCACAGTGAATAAATGAAAATCTCCCTGCTGAAGAATGTTAGCCTGGGGTTGGGAAAATTGTATATGTTTATTGGTCCTATATTTCTGTGCTTTACAAAAAGTCTTTAATGTGTTGACCTTGAAACCTCCTTCAGCTGAAGAACAGGGTCTCACTTTTTAAAATCTGCCTGTTTTTATGTAGCCTATTAAAAGGAAAAGACTTTAGTAGGTTATTTTAGATGTAGTATAATCATTTAAAAACTCCTTTTAAAAACCAAGGTGTGACTAATACACTCATATTGAAACCATGGAAGAGATACAATAATCTACTCCAGTGAAAAATATATTCAAGTCAATAAAGCAAAATTTCAAAAACTAAATGTGGCAAAGTAATATAAAAACACTTCAATGATCCTGTTTATTCTTTAAATGCATACATCATCTGGTTACAGTGTATAATCTAAAAATTAATTACTCACACTTGAACTGTGTTACAAGAGGAGGCAATTCGTCTTAGCAATAAGAAATTTTACCACTGTTTTTAGGGCCTTGAAACAATGAAGTAAGCCAAAAGCAGAGCATCAAAGGGAAAACAGGTCAAAAGCCCGATTTCAAAAATCTTTAGGGGCCTAGATTAAGCTACAAAAATGGACAATCCTCCTTACAACTTGCCCAAGAAAATGTTTCTATGTAATCTACAATAATCATGTTTTCACTTATATGAGAAGCCAAAATTCCTACAGCAACCTTAAAATAAAACCAAGGGGTGACAATGAAAGCTTTGTTTTAAAAGCCAATGTTCTTGAAAAATCCCTTTGGATCTAGAATCCATTACCACTGTATGGCTTGCTGTGTATCTCAGTAACTGCCATCGCAGGTGTTTGAAACAAGCAGGCCTTGGCTTCAGTGTCTGGCCCCTCAAAACGGGACAATTCTCTGATCCTAATCTCTCAGGCTGAAGTTTTCTGAAGTGAAGCTCAATAATGTCTCCTTTTAGTTTCTATGAATAGCATTTTTCATAGTTGCTCAGACACCTTGTCTCACGTAGGCTTGGGTAGGCCACGAATAAATAAAACACTGCCCAGATTATTTTATAAGCTGGGTAGGTTGCAGAATGTACAACTGAGGGTACAACTGAATGTACATTGCTTTCATAACTTTGATAATAATCCTTCTCAGACACCATTTCCTCACCTGCTTTAATCACCCACCAGATAACTGTTTAAAAATCACCCCTTTAGGAGTCTCCCAAGTAAACTAAAAATAATAACTACAAGAGATTATTTAGCAATTAATTACAGCTGAACTACAGAAATTATTTAAAGCAAAAAACAAAAACCCACCAACATCTCATTAGAGTGACCAGAGATTCTAAATAGTCCAAGGATTCTTTGCAGGAAGAATAAAGATAAATTGGATAAATTATAGTATCAACTAACATTTATTGCTTATGTGCCATGCACTGTTCCATGAGATTTACATGTGCTATCTCATTTATTTCTCGAAACAGCCCAGTGCATAGATACTAAGATTATCCCCATTTTGTAGATAAAAAGAACAGAGAGAAAAATAACTTGCCCAACATGGTTACACAGCAACTAAGTGTTAGAGCCCAATTTGGACTCCAAGAATTCAATTTAGGGCCTGCATATTTAATGAAGGTTAAAGGGTGACAAGAATAAAATATTAATATCTTCTGTTAATAAATTAACTACTACCAGCACCCTCATCATATATGTTTATCCAATTCTTTTTAGTTCAAAAGTTTATCTATCTATACCCACTGACCTGATTCTCAGGTCCCAAAGCCCCTTCTCACCGTCTCCAACCTTATCAACTTCCATTACTGGCAGTTGGTTATGCACTAGATCTTATTTTCGGTAAATTTAAAAATAATCGGAATAATAACTTTTATCTACTGTGTGCAAATCCTTGTTCTAAGTACTTTACATCTATTAAATTATGAATCATAACTTACACCCATATATGAGGTTGGTAAAAATTATCAGTTTTCAGATGAGGAAACTGAGGCACACAGAGATTAAGTAACTTGCCCAAAGTCATGTAGTTAGTGGCACAGCCAGGATTTGAATCCAGCCAGTAAGCTTTCAGAGTCCATACTCTTAGCCACTATTTGTACTGCTTTTGAAGCATATTAAGAAGTAACTCTGAAAAGTCAAGGAATCTGTACTGTTTCGTTTCCTTTAATATTTGTTGTACAGGACTTTACACTGCAAACAGGGAGTGTATTTCACATCTCTCTAAGGTAAACAATAATAAAACAGAAATTCATCAAACTTACTTCATCTAGTAAATGTTCTTTTAGTTGTAACACAAATATGAAATCCTGAATAATTCAAACACCTCTCTGCCTAGTCCCTGCTTACTACAGAATTATTAAAGAATTTCCTAAAAGTTCTTGGACTGGAAATAGGTGAAAAAGCCACTAACTCTATTTCCCTAGAATGAAGGTGAAAATGAGATGTGTTTAGGAACCTTCTCTGCTTCCCTAAAAGAACACCCAAAACAGCAGTAAAAATAGTGAAGAAAGGGCCTTTGAAGTGCACGCACTAAAAACTAATAACTATATTTTAATTGCTAATGGTAGAAGTGGTAAAAATCAGTAACAGGCACTGTCTCCCCGGCTCTCTAGGGATTCAGAGGCCCATCTTTCCGTACTGTAAGACAGTTACGGCTTTTGTAACCCTGGTGTCCCCTTCAACCTCCCGCCCCAGCACCTCCAGGGTCCTCAGGGATGCAATTTTGAGTCGCGCTCCGAAGCGTCCAGACAGGCAGGACACCCTAACGACACTTCTGCCAGAGTCCCTTCAGACTGTGGTCTCCAGGCCGGGTCACCTGTTCAAAAGTCCCCAGGAGTGACTTCAGTAACAACAGGGTAGAGGTTTGCCCAACACCGCTCCGCGCGCTGCAGCGTTCCCGCAACCCGGATGTTGGGTCGGTGTCAGCCACTCTCACCTCCCATTCCCTAGTTTTCCGCCTTTGCTCCCATCTAGTCACTTCGCACCTTCGGCTAGTCTTTATTCAGAGACACATTCCAGGAGTCCCCTCTCCCAGAGCAACAAAGACAGATTTCCGAAGCCACACAACCCATAGGGAAAGGATTCCTGGGAAATGTGGTTCTTTCCGCTGACGCGTGGTGACTCTTTAAGGAAAAGAACTACAACTCCCGGAAATCCTAGGGAGAATAGTCCGTGGCTACAACATGTCCCAGATCCTTGGATGGTATAGGCAGGAAAGGTTCTGTGGCTCTTTACTGACCTAACTCCTTGGATTTTGCTCTTTCACTGCAAGTGTGTGGGAGGACTTAAAAAATGCTATTTACATGTGGAGGAAACTAAATACGGTGATTTATATGAAGTGATCTCTAAGTCATTTTATTTTATAATTCTTTCAGACAAAAAAAATCTACGTACCATCAGAAAATATGTCACTGCAGATGGTAACAGTCAGTAATAACATAGCCTTAATTCAACCAGGCTTCTCGCTGATGAATTTTGATGGCCAGGTTTTCTTCTTTGGCCAAAAAGGCTGGCCCAAGAGATCCTGCCCTACTGGAGTTTTCCATTTGGAGGTAAACCATAACCATATCAAATTGAAGCCTACAATTTTCTCTAAAGATTCCTGCTACCTCCCGCCTCTTCGCTACCCAGCAACTTGCACATTCAAAGGCAGCTTGGAGTCTGAAAAGCATCAATACATCATCCATGGAGGGAAAACACCAAACAATGAGCTTTCAGATAAGATTTATGTCATGTCTGTTGTTTCCAAGAACAAGAAGGTTACTTTTCGCTGCATGGAGAAAGACTTGGTAGGAGATGTTCCTGAAGCCAGATATGGTCATTCCATTAATGTGGTATATAGCCGAGGGAAAAGTATGGGTGTTCTTTTTGGAGGACGCTCATACATGCCTTCTACCCACAGAACCACAGAAAAATGGAATAGTGTAGCTGACTGCCTGCCCCATGTTTTTCTGGTGGATTTTGAATTCGGGTGTGCTACATCATACATTCTTCCAGAACTTCAGGATGGGCTATCTTTTCATGTCTCTATTGCCAAAAATGACACCATCTATATTTTAGGAGGACATTCACTTGCTAATAATATCCGCCCTGCCAACCTGTACAGAATAAGGGTTGATCTTCCCCTGGGTAGCCCAGCTGTGAATTGCACAGTCTTGCCAGGAGGAATCTCTGTCTCCAGTGCAATTCTGACTCAAATTAGCAATGATGAATTTGTTATTGTTGGTGGATATCAGCTTGAAAATCAAAAAAGAATGATCTGCAACATCATCTCTTTAGAGGAAAACAAGATAGAAATTCGTGAGATGGAAACCCCAGACTGGACCCCAGACATTAAGCACAGCAAGATATGGTTTGGAAGCAACATGGGAAATGGAACTGTTTTTCTTGGCATACCAGGAGACAATAAACAAGTTGTTTCAGAAGCATTCTATTTCTATACACTGAAATGTGCTGAAGATAATACGAATGAAGAGCAGACAACATTCACAAACAGTCAGACATCAACAGAAGATCCAGGGGACTCCACTCCCTTTGAAGATTCCGAAGAATTTTGTTTCAGTGCAGAAGCAAATAGTTTTGATGGTGATGATGAATTTGACACCTATAATGAAGATGATGAGGAAGATGAGTCTGAGACAGGCTACTGGATTACATGCTGCCCTACTTGTGATGTGGATATCAACACTTGGGTACCGTTTTATTCAACCGAGCTCAACAAACCTGCCATGATCTACTGTTCTCATGGGGATGGGCACTGGGTCCATGCTCAGTGCATGGATCTGGCAGAACGCACGCTCATCCATTTGTCAGCAGGAAGCAACAAGTATTACTGCAATGAGCATGTGGAGATAGCAAGAGCTCTACACACTCCCCAAAGAGTTCTACCCTTAAAAAAGCCTCCAATGAAATCCCTCCATAAAAAAGGTTCTGGAAAAATCTTGACTCCTGCCAAGAAATCCTTTCTTAGAAGGTTGTTTGATTAGTTTTACAAAAGTTTTTCAGATTCAGGCACATGGAACTTTTGAATCTATTTTAAAAATCATAACATTGATTTTAAAAATATGTTTCTATTTTTGTTTATTTAAAATGCCTATGTTTTCTTTTAGTTACATGAATTAAGGGCCAGAAAAAATATGTTTAAAATGCAATGATAAATAAAGTCACTCTAGAACCTATACATTTTGAAAATACTTTACTCAAATACTCAATTTGCTCATTTATTCTTAACTGAGAATTTCCTATCTGATTTTTTTTACATACCCAGAAGCAGTAACAATCATCAACGTATGTTTGTATTTCTTATCTGAGTCTTGGTAACAAATAACCTATAGAGTGGTTATGACAAATTTAGCCAATAAAGAAATTAACACACAAAAGAATTAATTATTTTGTGCAATAAAACAATTCAGCAATTCACCAAAACTTAAAATCAAGATCATCTACATCCCATACTAGTGTTCTTTATATACCTTCAAGCAACCCCTTAGATTATGCCTGTGAACAAGTTAGTTCCTCATAGCTTTACAGTTATAAATATACATATAGATATAGATGATGTTCTCCACTGACATGAGGGAAGAAATAAAGAATCTACATCAAGTTTGATACATTTTCCTGAATTATTTGCATGCATTTTCTTTAAGGATTTCCCTTCCCCATTATATGATGCATGAATGATGTGCCAAAGTAAGTCATTTGAACTAATAATTTGTGGGAGTTTTCATGGAAAACTGAAGCCTACTGCTACTTAGAATTCTGGAAAAAGTAAGACTAAATAAATCTCATAGAGATGAATAATATTGATTATTTCCCAAACTAATATAAGTTTAAAGAATTTCCTGACATTTACAGGCAGAATATTTAAATGGAGGAGAAGAAATGTATCTGTGTGCATGTGTGTGTATAGTTAACATGTGGAGCTTGCTGCCAGTGAATATTAAAAAGTCAGTGATCTTGCCAAGATTTAATTAGACACTTGCTAGGATGAAATTAGTCAAAATGACTGTTAATTTTAAGGTTTCAAGACATCAATTAATAACCAGATGACTTTAGAAACAAATGCCTTTCCTCCTGGAGTATTTTCCTGAAAAAAGCACTTTTCTGAAAAAACCTTATCCTAAGACCTTCAATCACAGTTACAGTGAAGACTCTTACTCTTCACTGAAAGTCTACAGTGTGTAAGGTACTACTAGAAAATTCAGGGGAAACATGAACTATATAAGAGATGAAAAGTGGGAACACAAGTTCTGCTTATCGTTCCATGTCTCAGATACTGAAGTTAACTTGGATAAATGAATCATGTTCACCTGTTTCAATAATGTTGCTCACTGAATATTCCTGTTGAACAATTGTTTCACATTGATTTTTTTGTTGTTTCCATCACCTATATAAAAATGATAAAATATAAAAATCTTCTATTTGTATTGATTTACTCAAATTATTAAGATATAAATCACCTAAATAATGGCAAAATTAAACTAATTTTTTCAAGATCACTCCACTTTGATTTCTTTTCTATCTGTTAGTAGAAAAACGGCACAAGTTGGAGCAAAAATATCCTTTATAGAGTCCAAAAGTGAAATTTCCCCAAGGAGTAGATATATTCTCTCTTCCTGATTTGTCTGCAGAGATTCGGTGGCTAAGGAATTATTATCACAGATTTATTTTGTAGCCAGTGAAATCCAGATATGCTAATCTAAGTGATTCAGTTGTGAAGTCTCTGAGTTTCATAGTCAAACTCAGATCTCACCAGCATAGCTGCCTTTGGGGTGTGTGTGTGTGTGTGTGTGTGTGTGTGTGCATGTTTTAAGAGCATGCAGTTTGGTTATAGATTATATGTTTGAGTAAAATTAAATCCTTTTTTTGTCATCTGAGCAATGAGTTTATCTGATGTGACTTAAAGATACTGTCACTGCTTTTCTAATAAGCTAATGCAAACATTCAAATGAGCCACGTTAGAAGAACAGACACCTATTTCAACAATATTGTCTTTGCCTAAAATGTTTCAGGGACTCACATTTCAATCAATCACTTTTAGAATATATGGTTCATTTCCTTGAAGATGTTCAACAGCTGTCCCTCTTTCTTCATTAAAGATGGATTTAATTTCTGGAAGCAGGCAAGTGTCATTCAAAGCGTAGCAGAGTGAGATTTTTCAGTATTACACTACCACTTTAGGTCAAAGCAAAAATGTGAATACAAGCTAACAAAATGGATTTTCTGATATGGCTTATGAACGGGTTTTAAAGGAAAGTCATAAAATTGTTTGTACAAGACTACAAGAGTAGTGTCAAGAAATAAGTATATGGTTTCCCAAGGTAATCATTTTAGGGAACTATACACATCTATAAGTACAGGTGAGTTCAGTGTGTTAGGGGAAAGGGAAGGTATAAAGAAAAAGAAATTGTTATTCCAAAGGCTCTGGGGAGAGATGAAGCTTGTCACATATAAGGAACTGAAAGGTCAGCCAAACATGGTAAACAAGTAGGGGTGGAGTGCCATGAGCCCGGAGAGGAAGGCAAGGGCCAGGGATTCAATTTTTCATCAGTAAAATAAAATCACATTCTGCTCTGCCCATGTTGGTGAGCAGTTATAAGGGCCAAGCACATTTTTTATAAACTGAAAAATAACATATGCTCTTGTTGTGTGTTCAAAAACATAGTTTCATCATTCTCTATCACTGTGAAATAAATCCAGACACTCCGTGTAAAAATTATTTAAGAGGGTATTTGCCAGAGATTTTACCATAATAAGCACATGTAATTATGAATTCCAACTGACAAATATAAAATCTAGACCACACATCATCAAGGACTGCGTAAAAATATTTTAGCTAGCCTGAAGGAAGGAAAACTAATGGTCTTGAATAACGGTTAACAAGATGATCAATAAAACAATCTACATTCGAAGATATAATTGATGGTATGTGATCTCATCTTGCACTGAAAATCGAATTATGAGATCAGATTTGTCAGAAATAATATTCTTTTTTGTAGACCATAGATTGATAAAATGAAGTGCATGAAGTTTGGTTAAGAGATAAATCAGTCATTTAAAGCAGTATGAATGGTC